TGGTTAGCTGATGCTTACATGATCACAAAGCTCAACATTTGTGAGTATGAAGTGTTTATTATATAGTCTCCTCTTGAATCTCTCTTCAATACAATACAACGAAATTTTTAGGCTATGTTAAGAAGGATTCAAAAGAAGAGCGAAAATAAAACTTCGTTATTCATACTCACAGATTATTTTAAAGATGTTTTTTGCGAATAGGGAGTAGGTTAGATAATTTTTTTAACTGGTTTTTTGCTAATATCCAACTATGATAATTCAAATTATAATTTGGAGACTTTTATTGGCTCCAACCGAATACATAAAAAATTGTAAATAGAATTAAAAAAAGTATTATTCTTTTTGTTGTACTTATCTTTCTTAAAAGGCAAAATATTATGGTCAAAACTGTCTATGGTCCCAGGTCTCAACAGCCAGAACCATTCTTGCGGTGGCCTCCGGAGGGTGCTATGAAAAGCATGCAGATGGCATCATCCAATGCCCCTAGCATGATGAGCCCACCCTGGAAGGTGAGCAAGTGAGATTTTGGGTCCCTGATCCCGTTGTATACCAGCGTGTTCCATGGCTTGCAATCCCGAGGGATCTCCGCGGTCACGATCCTCGCAGAGAAGTGGGAAGTGAGTGCAATCTGGTCTGGGCTGCCCATGGGATGGATTATTCTCTGTACGACGATTCAACGCGTCGATCTGTCTCTGCATACCAGCGAGCATCTCATCCCGTTTCGTGGTGGCAGGGGACACAAGGTCGATGATCGTTAGAGTATCCCCGCACGGACAGTGTCCACGCCAGGCTGCCTCTGGATGAAGTGGGAGCCAAGATCGTATAGATACTGGTAACGCGATCCCATGTTGCTTACCACGGGAGTTGGTTCCCTGGCTCGGTGGTTGCGGCGTGGCATCACCGGGGTGCGGTCTTGGACCGCATATTGCTGCCCTCATCTGGGGGGCTATTCCCTCTGTGGCCTCCCCTCCCATGTCCTGGGAGGGGGGATCCCGCCAATCCGTGTATGGACCGATGTACGAGACTCCACGGTCCCGTTCGTCCGTTCCCCGAATGGCTGCCTGAAACGGATGGGGGAAGGAGGTGTACGTTCGGTTTCCGCCGAGTGCACGGTTCGTTCAGCATCCTGCTCGTCCACCAAGCGTCGTCACATGGTTTCCGCCAGCTCCCTCATGATGTGAGGGTCTCTTATGGCTTCGAGGGGGATCATGTTGGTGACATCCCCACCATCCCCGCGGGTCCATACGCTGTTGGAGTGACCGTCGGATGCCTGGGTGCAGGACCTTTTGCAGTTCGCTAGCTGTTTGGAAAGGTCAAAAGTTCGCTCGAAATTGTTTTCTGCCATCTTGCTTGCTTGTAGGTTCGTAAAGAGCTGTTTTGGGTGAGAGCTTGTTTTGGAAACTTTTATATCGTTTCCCACATACGGCGCTAGTGTTGAGATTTATTCTTTCAACTCCAAAGGCCCAACACCTTCTCTTGAGTTTCGAATGCAATATGGGGTGCAAGCAAGCAAGGAAGAACAAGTAATATGAGTAGTAAGTGGGCCGTTGACGAACACTTTGTCGTGTGTGCACTCAAAATAATATTCAATACTAACACTTATACGTAGTATAGCGTAGTAGAGTTCGTATCCACAGGGAAAGGAATAATTCTCTTTTTAGTAAAACTTAGTAAATAAAGGGGGTTTTTGGGATTGAGTGATTTAATTTAATTTAAACACGAAGATGAACGACATATATGTGATTTAATTCAAAGATAAAAAGAACTTGGCATTGCTACTTTCCACTTGTTGATATATTTTAGTCGATCATTGTTATATCTATAACTTATTTCCTCTCGAATACTCAATCGAGGAGTATATCCAATTCATCGAGGAAAATTATTAACAACGACCGTTCATTAATAACCCTTACTATTAGTCAAGTATAGAACAACGCCATATACTGACTTGATAGTAGCATTTAATCTCTTAACTCCTTGATGAAATCAATTGAGATTGATAACCTCAACACAACCGTTTCAGTTTAACCAACAAAATTAATCCCCCTTAAGTTTATTAATCACGACCGTGCATGAATAAACCGAAGTTACTTACTTGTGAAACCATCAACGATTAACCATCGGTTCGTTGATCATTTCTAGTAATAATTAATATATGAAACAAAACTAGTTGATCCTTTAAGTAATGTTCAAAATATTAATATGAAATATGAATAGGAATTAATTAATACTCAAGGAAGAATATTAAAGAAAATGAATCCTACTATAGTTAATATCAAGATGTTAACTAATTGTCATCTTAGTAACACTCCCCAATATTAACATAGAGGAAGGAATAGCTATTACTAAGACCAATGTCAAGATGTTAACTAATTGTCATATTAGTAACACTCCCCAACATTGATATAGAAATAGTATTTAAAGAAAGAATTAATATTCAAGGAAAGAAGTTAGGAAAATAACTCACAACTTTAATAATCAACAAGCTTCAAGAGCAATACCAAGAAATGGAAGTTTAGCTCCTCATTTGGAGACTAAACATGCTATAAAAATATAAAAGAAATACTATTCTAAACTGAGCTTAAGAGTATGGAAGAAGAGATGATTATTTGTGAAGGAAAAGTGTGCTATTTATAGGCGTTTTTCAACACCTTGGGGCATTTACCCGACCGGGTAAATGGACATACCCGATCGGGTAAATGTCAAAATCAAATATTTCCCACGTTCTGGCGATCTTCAGCATGTGCTGGTGTTCCGGGTCACATCTGACCCGACCGGGTCAAGTAGGGGACCCGACCGGGTCTGGCACTTTCCTTGCTTCTTCGGTTGTTAAATCTTACCCGACCGGGTGGGGATTTCTACCCGGTCGGCTTTTGCTCCTGGGCAGTCAAATTTCTTGCTTTCTTCTCTTCAAAGTCCTCTTTTCCAACACCATAAATCCTAAATCTACTTTACAACTTATAAATGAAGATTAAAATACAATTACAACTAAAATCACACAAATGTTTACAAACTAAATAAAACGATAAATAATACACACAAATCAAACATAAAAACATACACTTATGCACTACTAATTAGTGCATATCAGCCGTATCTTATTCAATCAATAATAAGAGGTCAGTTACAACACACTTCATTACAAGCCCAACTGACGATCATCTATCTGAGCTAAGAGGAGGGTGAATAATTGTTATGACTATGGGGAATAAGTTGTCAACCTTTTGCAATGAAATAAATGCTACTCTCTCAGTCCTATTTTTTAAGATACCTTTCCTATTCATTTGGTCAACATAAATCACTTTTAATCTCTTTTTTTCTATATCAGTATTTTATGAAATTTGAATTATTTTTTGTAGGCTTTGTAGCGGTTTTAATGTAGTTTCTGAATATGTAAATTTTATTTTCTAAAACTAATTCGAATGTTGAAAGGGATCAATTTGCTTTATCGTCAGTCAAACATTGTAAACCGTAAAGTGTCTTACCATTCGGGACGCAGAGAGTACTATTTATACTACCAATTCAAGAGGTAGGTGATGTTGATTATGTGGGGGATTGTGGACGGCTAGCTTCCCAACCACCAAACCAATCTACAACACTAAATGCGCTTCCCGCCAATATCTCGATTTCCTGCCAACAGCCCTGGACGAGCGTCCCCCAATCTTGGACACTGAATTCAGATGAGTGCAAAGGCGGGCGGCACACCGCTCGGCTTATGTGAACCACCTAGTTGAAGACCGTGATGCATCATCTGGCCCTTAATGGGCCTAAGGCCAATGAGGCCGAGCATCTTCGGGGTTTGGACGTGCGTCTGACCGGCACTTTTACCGGACCCTATCCAAATTGGGTCGTGGTGATTTCCTTGCTTAGGGATAATGGGCCGATCCGCTACCGGGCCTATTAGCCCAACAAATTTTTTATTGTAAAATTTTTCTTTTAATTTAAAAAAAATTGTGTTGACGTCCGGTGGTGCATCTTACAATCAAACATTGAACATTCAAACTATTTTAACATTATTAAAAACTTGAGAATATTATCCAAAGTAGGACTAAAGAAGTTTGAAAATTCCAAAATAGGACTACCATGCATGTTTTTATTCCCAAAATAGGACTAATTACTGTCATGTTTTGGCAGTACCAGACTTCAAACATAGCAGTACTTTCCAAACTTGGCAGTAATTACTCCTATTTTGGGAATAAAAAACATGTCAATCATATTTTGGAATTTTCAAACTGTTTTAGTTCTATTTCAGGAACTTTCCCTTAAAACTTTGAACAATATAATACGGAGTAATATTGTTTGATCTAACAAATGAAGATAAATAACTTTGCCAACAAAATTAAAATAAATATCAAATTACGTCAAGAGATCAATAATACATAGAAAATACAATATTTGAGTAATTACATCAATTCTATTTATATACTCCAAATAAGTCCAAATTTTATTTTCTAAATTTTGAGTGTTGTGGTAAATATAGAGTACAAAAGTTCTAAATATAGAGTACAAAAGTTCTAAAAGTACACACTCTTTTTGTGTACACACTTTTATACATGTGTGTAGGTTTTTTTTATCTATCCAAGCCCGGTTGTATAGAGCAAGTATATATGAACAAAAGAAAACTGCCCCTAAATGGGGCCACCAGCCATAATCGAGTTATTAGCTAGCCCTCCGATCTGGTCCTTCTCAAACTGTGAACTAGAAATGATAGTTGGGAAACCATCTTGTCGATCTGCTAAACCCATATATCTACTCCCTCCGTCCCATTTTGGTTGTCCTACTTTCCTTTTTGGATTGTCCCAAAATGAATGTCTTATTTTCTTTTTTGGCATGAAATATGTGGTTCTTATTAATTCACTTTATTCTACTCAAATCTCAACCACAACTTTTACTTTTCAACCACTTTATTAATAATCGTGCCAAATTGAAAGGGGACAACCATTATGGGACGAAGGGAGTACATATCTATATAAAATTCTCCTAGCCCTAGCTACATAGCCACAAACATGAAAGTATGAAACACTGGTTTATTTTCTCGTACATACTGCTTATTTAATTCATAGCCTGTCTCATCATATCAGTTCATTTCCATCATATCATCATACATCTTCTTCTTCCCCTTCACTGCACACAAATTCAAAACTCTTGCAGCCTAGCTACCTAGCTAACAATACCATGCAAGCTAATCAAAAGCCTAATTTCACCCACATGATAATAGCCTCTAGAGAAAATAATGTGCCGCCTTGGGTGGGCGATTCCACCTTTTTTGGAATGAGAGAGAATAGTCCGACCACCTATTGGCGGGGACAACGAGATGATGAAATACTAGTTGATGATGATGAGGATGTAGCCTCCACTGTTCTGTCTCTTGGCCCTCCTGGCCAACATCATAGTAAAACAAGCCACCAAAACCCTAAGAACCAGCTGCACAAGTACGACAATGAATGGGGTGTCACGGTGGCATTTCACATGGGCCCGACGCCATCGCCTTCACCGCTTGGAGCTACCAGCAGCAGCTCAAGCAATTTTAGCCCGAGCGGCGGTGATGTGGCAGCGGCAGCTACGGCTGGAGGAGGAGGGCTTTCACTTGGTCTTAGGCAGTACTGGATTCCTACACCAGCTCAAATCCTTGTTGGTCCCACTCAATTCTCTTGCACTGTTTGTCACAAAACATTCAATCGCTTCAACAACATGCAGGTTAATTCTTCTTTACAATCATGCAATTTGATTAGAATTTAATTAGGAACCTATTCATTTTATTGGATAACTGTTGTGATCTGAATTACCTATAGAAAGTGCAATGTTGTAACCAAAAAGTAAATTCAAAAAGCACATACTAGCTCCCCAATCCCACACACATTTTGAGTCAAACTTTAATGTGCTAACTTTGACCCTCAATTTTTATACTTAAATATCACAATTCTTCCGTTCAAAATGGTTTTCGATTTTACTTTTCTTGGTTAATAGGCTCAACACAATTTCAATTTAATCTCACCTGATTTTGAGTATCCATCTTTAATCAGTTTTTGATTTGGGACGTGTTTAGAATTGAAGAAAACTTTTATTGTACTCCGTATATAGTTCCTAGATATATAAAACTTTCTTATTTCTAATTAGTATACTATCATCATAACTTCGTAAAAGTGCAAAACAATTGGGATAGAGGGAGTATTACATTATGCTTAACTATTGATTAATACTCAAGCTAGTAAGGGCATTGTATGAGGTAAATATGTTACTATTATAAGGAGGAGTTTGAAGATTGAGAAAGTCAAATTAAGAGCTTAATTGTTGGACAAATGTAGAGCTGAATTTTGCGATAATAAGAAAAAATAAGTCTATAATTAATTTTCTGACTTTGTTGGCTTAAGTTATTGTAGATGATAATTTTAGCTCTTTTTCATAAAATGTTTTTCTTATCTTATTAATAAAACTATTTTCATTATAAATTTTTTATAAATCAGCAGAATCGGTCAATGCAGCCACTTCAATCATAAATTCATAAATTTCAGCAGAATTAACAGATTTAGTCAACTTGAGTGTTATCAATTGGGCTCGTAGTACATTAGTAGAGTACATTTTAGTTTTTTAAGGATAATAACATGTCGATTAAGAACTAAAGAAAACTTTTTGCTAATTTTTTAACGTAAGCAATATTGTTGTCACTCTTTTCCTAGACTAGAAAAACTTTACAGCTATATGGCCTTTACATAAATAAATAAATAAACCACATCTATCTGCAGTCTGCACGTACAACATAACATTTACCTCTGGTGGGTGAATACTTTTACTATTTATGGCTTGACACTATATATGCACGAAATGGGGTTACTGTTTATGAATAGGGTTCCATCTCCTGAATAGGAAAATAGAAAGTTTCGATTTTCCTCTATGGTAAACTACATGTATATAAATGGTTACCTACATGCAGTTCAATTATTTATATTATTACCCCCCCAAAAAAGAAGTCCAGATTAAAAACATATATTTAAATATTGAATAATTCAGATGCATATGTGGGGCCATGGCTCACAGTACAGAAAAGGGCCGGATTCCCTAAAAGGAACAAAACCACCTTTCTCCTCCGCCTCCACCTCCACCGCCGCCGCTTCATCGAGGTTAAGGCTGCCGTGCTATTGCTGTGCAGAAGGATGTAAGAACAACATAGAGCATCCAAGATCAAAGCCATTGAAGGACTTCAGAACCCTCCAAACACACTACAAGAGGAAGCATGGTTTGAAGCACTTCTCCTGCCGGAAGTGCGACAAGGCCTTCGCCGTGAGAGGGGATTGGAAGACTCACGAGAAGAACTGCGGGAAGATTTGGTTTTGCATTTGCGGGTCGGATTTTAAGCACAAGCGATCCCTCAAAGATCACGTCAGGGCGTTCGGGGATGGGCACGCGGCACACAGCGAAAGCTCGTTTCAAGCATCTCACTGCTACCGTCCTGACACAGAGGACCCCGAGGAGGAGGAGGAAGAAGAGGAAGAAAGCGACGGTGGTGGTGAATATGACCACGAGCAGCAGCACGTGTCTACCTGTGCAGGAGCATTGTTCATCAGGTAGGATCGCATATAGTGACGTTGCATGCATGTGAAGATCGAGGTGAAAGTTGTAGTAGCTAGTAGCAGTAGTTCTTGTGTACGTACGCCGTGACAGCGATAGATGAGATTATTATTGACTACTAGTGCCTTTTGGCAGTTTGCGCCTGTTTGCTTTTGTGTAGTATCATGTTCTCCCAAATGGTTACTTTAGTGACTTTAGTGAGTTTTGGAGGTGTCCACAAAATGTGTACACATGTGTGTTTTTTTATAGAAATTTTGTCTGTTACAGATAATTTAAAATCAGTTGTCTGTCATAGACAAAATTTCTGTGAAGAACAGGTACACATATCTGTTCTTCACAGAAATTTTGTCCAAATAGGACCAAATAATGTTAAAAGTTCAACAATAGGACTCTAATGTTAGGTTATCTTCCGTAGGACTAAAAAGAGTTAGATATACAAAACTACCCTTAATGAAATAAATCACCATTTATTAAGAATGCAATTAAAATAATAGAAATAAAAATGACAGCAGGCTTAGACTCTACGATACATCCTCTGCTATAGGAACACAGCCATCTCCATCGCCACTCCTGCCGCCTCCGTCGGAGCCGCCGCCGCCACCTCCGCCGGCGATGTCGGCGCCGACTCCGGCTCCACTGACGTCATCTCCGCCTCTGCAGGAGTCACCGCTGGATGCCTCCACCGGCGTTGCCGCCCCCCTCCACCGGTGTCACTGATGGCCGCCTCCACTGACGTCGCCGCCAGCCGCTTCACCATCGTCAGCCACCAGATCTGAGATCTGATTTGTGATTTGTTAATATTGTCATACAAATGACATCTTGCAATTGTATTGTCATCTTAATGACATTATTGCCATCCTGAAAGAAATAAGATGACATTTTCAGTTTGAAAAATGGCATTAATGTCTTTCGTAAGAGTATTATTGACATCTTTGTATCTTTAGTTCCATAAAAATAGCATTCATTTTCGAAGTGATATTTTCACATTTAGAGGACTAATATTAAAAAGGGAAGTGCATCTTGTAGTTGAAGTGTTATCATATTGTCTTTATTGCCATCTTGACAGAAATAAATGGCATATTCAGATTGAAAAAAATGACATTAATGCCATAAAAATGACATTAATGTCATAAAAATGACATTCATTCTTAAAGGGATTTTTTCATATTCAAAGGAATAATATTATAAAGGTACTAATATTATTCTGAAATTAAGTTCCAATAGATGGTATTTTTGGGAAAATAATAATAATGATGTTATTTTCGTTTTCAAAAATAAAAAGAAAGCATAAATATCAAACATAAATTTTCATTTTCAAAAATAAATTCGAAAAAAAAAATCAGAGGAGAAGCAGAACAACGAAGAAGAAGAAGAAGAAGAAGGTTGAGAAAAATAAGAAGAAGAAAGAGGAGAAGAAGAAGAAGAAGAAGAAGAAGAAGAAGAGGTGGAGGAGGAGGAGGAAGGAGAAGAATAGAAGGAGGAATTCGAATCTTACCTATGAGTTCGCCGCTGCTCGCCGCCATCGCCCGCCGGAGCTCCAGAAAAAAAAACCACCGTTGATACTTTTAAAATCGGTCAGAGATGGAGGAATTTAATTGTATTGAAAATCCAGAGATACGTGAGAGCTGGAAGATGAAGTTAGGTTGGAGCCAGATCTATTGCTTGAAAGAGCTTGTTCCCAGATCTAATTTGGTGCGTGAAGAGAAAAGAGAGGAGGGGGGGAAGAAAGGAGAGAGGAGAGAGAAGCTAAGGGAAAATGAAGGAGTTTGTTAGATCTAATTTGGGATGAAGATGCGTGAAGGAAGAGACAACCAGGGAAAAGAGAAAAAGGATGGAGGGAGAGAGAAAAAGCCTGACATGTGAAAGGAGATGCAATAAAGAAAAGAAGAGAAAGGATAAAGGGAGAGAGAAAAATCCTTCGCTGGGTGGTGCGTGAGTGCGTGATGGAAGATTAAAAAATTCAGGGGTAAGTTGGGAATAAAAAGTCTGGTGCGTGAGAGAAGCTCCTATTTGGGAATAAAAAATTAGTAGGGTCCTATTCTTGCAATACTCCTTTATTTTACTCCTATTTAGGTTAAATACTTATATGTGTACACATTTTGTATACCTCAAGCATTTTTCTACTTTCATTGGATTGATTTGTATATTACGTATTGTATATTCTAGTGTGGTTTATGAAATTATTGATGAGTTAAATTAGTTTGCTGAATGATAGAAAAATAATATTTAATTTTTTTATTAATAGATATGGAGTACAAAAAGAAAAGATTATATGATAATAAGCTTGAAATAGAAGTTATCAAACGTTGGGGCATGTATATATGCCTTTCTTATGTGTCACGCAGAAATTCTATACTTTTTAATTTTCTAGGGTTCAATGTACCAGACTTCCTCATAATACATATTACCTAACTTTGGCCCGAGACTTGGTGCACAAGTCCGTGATAGGGATGAGTTTAAAGTTCATTTAAATCCTTGATGATGAGACGCCCAATTCCCCTCTAATACAACGTTAGAGGCTGAATTCAATGCGGAAAGCTCACACTTATGGATTGGGACACACAATCAAGATCATCCCAAGGACCTGTAGTAGGGAGGTTTAATTTATTTCTTAATAATTCCTTTGATAAAATGTAACCAGGTACATGAATAAAGGAATTACCTGTATGATCTTAAAATGTAGTCGCGCTTCAAAAGGCTTGGAACTTGGCTTTTTTACGGTCATGAATGGGATTAGGACACACAACTTTATAAGTGTGTCAAGTTTGTATTCGAGTTGAGTATAGAAATTTGTATGTATTTTATCTTCAGGTATTCAAATGGGTTGACGGGTTCAATCCATATATAGGACATCCCTATATATATATATATAGGGGTTAATTCCTGTGAGAACACCCTCTTAGGAGAGGAAAAAAGAACAAAATCCAACCTTTGGTAATCTCAATCATGTGGCCAAAAAGCTTCAAAAATTAGGCCAGAGATATCCATGATTTACGGTGGAATCACCATCTAAAACGGATTCAATTGAACCTAATATTTATTGTGGGCATCATGGTAAAATTGTTCATGGAGGATATCACGCATGATGCGCCATAATAGGAAGTCTTCCTAATAATTCGTAAAAAGTAACCTCTCTCATAGCTAAGATTATTTATTATAATATATACTTTCTCCTATTTGAATTTATTTTCAAATTTAGGATTACATACGTAGTATCTAAAATTAATTTATGCTTTGCATTCCAACATTGAATAGATGCACTTTATTTGAGACTTTATGCATATCAACTCATTTTAAATATTCTAAATTATGTGCACTATATGCACGCACAAGTGCAATTTAGATGAACATGTACTTCTTTATTACGTAGTTGCACTTCTTAGTTAATCTATTATGCACTTACGGGTAACATATTTAAAAATGAACATTGTAAGTGCAATTTAGATGAGCATGTACTTATTTATCACGTAGTTGCACTTTTTAGTTAATCTATTATGCACTTACGAGCAAAATATTTAAATATGAACTTTATAGTCCCTGTGATATTTTATTTATTGAGTGGATATGTGCAACATGTGTATGTATAAGTGCATTGTAGATGATATAATTATTTATTAAGTAGTTGCATTTTTAGTTATCTTATGCACTTACGAGTGAAATAATTTTAAATGAACTTTTATAGTTCCTATAACATTTTATATATTAAGTGGACAAAATTTTATTTAAATGGTGTGCACTTTATTTTGAATGTTACATTTTTGAACTTTTAAGTTGCACTAAATATGATACACCGTGCACATTGTACACTTTAAAAATGCATAATAAAAAACTCAATACCATGCACTTTAACTGTTTAGTTTAGTGCACTTTTATATATACTTTTTACTATAATTAAAGAGTTGAAGCACATAAATATTTCAAAATATTTCAAAAATATATATTGCCACAAAGTAAAATAATATATTTTAAAAAAATTACTACTGGGTACTTACTAAAGAGCATTCTATTAGGCAAAAAGATAGTAGTTCCATAACGTTGAAGAAAATTAAAAATAATATAATGACACATCAAAAAATTGAAGTACACAAAACACAAAATAAGAGAAAGAAATAATTAATAAATATATGAAAATTGAAAAGGAAATAATTAATGTACTACGGTACTACCAATTACCAAATGGATAAAGTAGTGCCACCAAGTCCGGAGCTTAGTTTTAAGGCTAATTAATGCATTGATGAAATGACCAAAAGGCCTTTTAGACATGTGCACGGTAGTTTAAAAAACATGGTTAATCCAAGGGCTAAGATCTATTCTTTTTTACTCTCCTAAGATTAAGTTCTCACCTGATCCTAAATATATATATATATATATATATATATATATATATATATATATAGAGAAATCATCTCATCAGGCCGGCCTGACGGGCTGCCCCGTCCGGCCGAGCCCGTTTGGGCACCTTCCCGGTGGAATTTTTTGATGAAATTTTTTGAGCATGTTCCTCATCAAGTCTAGTTTGTCCATACCAAATTTCAGCTCAAAATTCGATCGGGAAGGTCGTCAAATGATTTTTGCAAGTTAACTGGTCCGGAATATGTATTTTCCGGACCAGTTAACTTGCAAAAATCATTTGACGACCTTCCCGATCGAATTTTGAGCTGAAATTTGGTATGGACAAACTAGACTTGA